TTCTACATAAATATTATATTAATATTAATATTATCAAGTATATTGTATTAATTTGAATATTATTAGTTTAAAAATTAAATTCTATTTGTAATATAGTTCTGTTAAGGTACCATAAACATACCAATTAAAGGACTCATCACTACGACGAATAAACCTTTAGACACCATAAATATTCCAAAAGCACTCGGCAGCTTGTTTAAAGAACAACATTCAGAAACGCTAAGATTTAAGTTTACCAAAGTGGCGCCACGTAAAAATCCTATTATCACGAATGTTACTATCAAAAATGTTCCTTTAGATTGCGCTGCCATAACTGAAAAATATAATAGATACATATTTTAACGAATAGAATATAAATATTATTGCTTTCATTCATTTGAATCTATTGAAAATTAATATTGAAAATATTAATATTGAATATTGAAAATTAATAATTTTCACTAGCAAAACGTTAAAGTTAAACGAAATCCGAATAAAGAGTTTCTAATTTAGTCACGGTACAAAAAATAAAAAGAATTGTTTAATTGTAATTTCAATTATTTCAAATTAATAATATTTCATTACAAATATTATATTATATTAAAAAATAGTCCAATGATATTAATATTTATACAAAAATATTATATTACGTGTAAATTTACGTAAATCACTAAAGATAAATCAATGCAATTGTTTTTATTTTCATTCGATTAACAATAAAATATCTGATATCGAAGATTTTGAGGACATAGTATTATTTAGTTTCAAAACGTTCATGTACAGAAATTTTCTATCCGTAGAGAAACATGGACAGAATTTATCACGGACAGCATGACAAATACAAATGCAAAATACTTACTGGATCGCCCAATACCGACTAGAATACAAAACACCCAGAATACGGTTCTCTTCTTGAATCCCAATTTATCGAAAATAGTCGGAAGTAGAAGTCGGGCAAGTATGTCGGTGAATGCAGTTACAGACAAACAGGAGGCAACTTCCGCTTTGCTCATTCCTGTCGACCATCAAGTTCCTTCGAAAAGTCTACCGAAATCCTAGAAAATGGCGCACAGTGGAACGAAACTCGGAAAACGCGATAAACGATCGAAAAGTCGATTGCAGTATTTCACAGTTTCTTTCCTCAAACTAATTATTACCACTTAATTTTGTATTATATTATTTTTTTTTTATATTATATAATTACTAATGTATAATATAATAATGTAATACGTAATGTAATAATGTAATAATGTAATATGTAATGTAATTGAACTGCTGTTCAATTTAACTCGAATTCAGAACTGCTGTTTTCTATTGATTAAATTAATGTCGTTGCAATGGATTAAATAATGATTAATTAAATAAATGGTGCCGTCACAATATTCTAATTAATTAATATAGTGTAATATAATATAATTGCAAATTGAAAACCGCTGTTTTCTATTGATTAAATTATTGTCACAATATTGTTATAAAGATAATGATATCTTCATGATATCTTAATTTGATTTTGACGAATCATCATTACCATTTTTCATTTTCACTTGTTTCATTTATTTACATTATTTTCATGCTGTATCTCATCTTATATTTTCAACGTATAATGTCGATGAACTGCTAATGCAATGTAAGATAATTCTATTATTTTTGCTAGATCATTAATTTTTTATTAGAAATTCTACAGCCGATTGTTTAATCATTTGTCACGTTTTTACGGGTTTCGTTCCACTGTGTGCCGTAGCTAGGATGTTAGACGAATAAAAATTGTTTAATGAGTGTGCTTATACTCTATAAGAGCTATATATTCAATGAAATTTTGTTATATTATTTTGTATTATTTGATTATGTTGTTACAATTTATATAGACAGAATGCACATACTAATTTTTTTTAATATAATTTTAAAATGTACCATTTACGTATATATTTATTTTTGCATCATATATTCATTATCCATTATCTTATTGTAATAAATTTGCTGTTTGAATCGATAATTATGAAAGATGTGCAAAGATAAGGTAATATTTGTCCATAAGTTAAATATTTAAACGATTATTATATCGAAGTATTCTTGCAGAAATTTTAGTATTTTTTTATAACACCCTCTGCTACGGCACTGATCTTATGTTCATTCTTTCAAAAATTACTTACCTATACTGGTGAGAAAAAATGGTGTCATTAGTTTGAAGTTTGACTCAGCAACGTAATACAAACTCAGACCGACAATAACGTTTAGATAGACGCCATTTTTAAGTAAATCTAAATCGAATGTTTCCTTTATCTTCTTAAAGTATTCATTGTGGGATTTCTTTTCTAGTTCCTCTGTTTTGTTATGTATTAGGGTATTATTTTCATTGGTGCCATTTTCCATTCTTCTTATCACTCCATTGCTATTTACTTGTAGTAACGTGTCATTTTCAGATGATTTCTTGGGTTTCTATAAAGAATAATAGTTTGATCACTTTATTTTAACTTAAATATCAGTGTTTAGCAAATGATAATATCATTATATTTTGAAAGTAAATAGAAATCTAAAGAATAGGATATTAGATTCTGTTAGGTCAGAATGTAGTATTCTAATCTCTCAATCACAGTTTTCTCATTAATTTATTCAGAATATAATTTCCTAATTATTACGTTCAGAATAGAATTTTTTAATTAATATACTTTAAACATATTATGGTTTTGAAAATATTATGGTGTAAATTTGTAATAAATATATTATAAGTATTGCATATATCTTTGAACTATTTTTCCATTTTATTGATATAATTTTAAGACTTTTCCTTTATTATAAATATCATAATATATCAAGTACGTGAATTTTACTTGAATGCGTTACTTATTGAAAGCAGTTACTATAAACGTTTAAATATTTTCAAATATCTGTATACATTAAAAAAGACCGCAATATTTATAGGATAACCTGATAACTAAGTAAAACATCACGTTATTATGTTTAAACTCATTCCTATCTGCAAAATGAATTCATTGTTCAGAGTTTCGTAGACTTAATAAAAAATATAAAACATGTGCTAATCTCTTTCTCTCACTTATTCATGACGTAATAGCAGCGTAAAATTTAATAGATAAATGCTTCTCTACTCCACTTGAAGTGACTACAAGTAGATGTATTCTGTGATTACTTATCCAATTACTTAGAGAACACAAAGGCAAACAGGAAATGACACAGAAAGGCACTTTCATATTCAAAATACTTTCGAAACAAAAAGGTTACATAGTTTAAAAAGAAAAATGAAGAATTTGAAATTATATGAACTATAAGATTTTGCATTTATCTATTTAATCTTCAAGTAGTGAAGCATTTTCTATTGTAGTATATACAAGGCGTTGCAGCAACGGTAGTACAAACGGAAAGGAGTGATTCTGCATGCAGAAACGAGTCGAAAAAGAATAATAAAATTTTTTTATTCGAGGCCTCGTTTTCGATAAAATCGACTTCGAATATTCACCGAGTACGCGTGCACTTAGCTATGACTTATATGAATATGACCATGAATACAAGAGTATCGGTGGTATAATCGAAGAGGAGGTGATTCTACGTGAAAAAACAAATCCAAGAAAAAGAATAAAAATTTTTGATTCAAGGCCTCGTTTTCGAGAAAATCGACTTCGAATATTCACCGAGTACGCGTGCACTTAGCTATGGCTTATATGAATATGACCATGAATACAAGAGTATCGGTGGTATAATCGAAGAGGAGGTGATTCTACGTGAAAAAAACAAATCCAAGAAAACGAATAAAAATTTTTGATTCAAGGCCTCGTTTTCGAGAAAATCGACTTTGAATATTCACCGAGTGTGCGTGTACTTTTGGCTAATTGTAAGGCAAATGGACTATCAGTATATCAGCGTATTCGGTGGATATTCAAAGTCGATTTCCTCGACAACGAAGCTTCAAATCAAACAATTTTATTCTTTTCTTCGATTCGTTTCTGCATTCAGAATAATCCTTTTTCTGGTTATACTATCGTTTCTAGGACACCATGTATAACATAATATAATAGTTATTATTTGTTGATTTTATTATACCATGGTAATCTACTATTAAAAAGTATAATAAGATCTTTTCAATTTTGCTATAAACAAAATAATTGGACATGCGTCGCCAACATTTATATGGAGCCAATTTGACGTCATGTCACTATTTGAATGTTAAATATAATATTACAATAATATTAATAGATGTGGGTAGTTGTACAATCTTACCTTCTTAGCAGCCTTTGCATTTTTAACTTCAATGGGACGTAACAAACAAGCACCAACAGTGGAATGTAGTGCCCATCCTCCAACGATCAGCATCGCTCCTCGAAATCCATAAGAGTCCAAAAGGAGATGTATTAACTACAAGAGGAAGAAATGATCGGTGAATATAATTTTTCCAACCATTTTTTCGCCTGTTAGAAATCATTCTGCAATAAAAGGTAGGAATTAAGTTCTAAACTGGAATTAATTTATTGCATTACGTGTTTCGAAAGATTAGAGAACGATCGATTACACTGTCCAACGAATTTTAACTATTTTTCTAATCTGTGATATCCAATAGGCGATTTTCGTAGAGCTTACTTCCCTGAACACGAATCCATAAATAAGATTGCTCTATCATCTACAGTTTCCGAAAAATGAGAGTTTTCTTACAGAGGCACGATTTTTATCTAAAATGAAGTATTACGTAAAAGATAAGAACGTCAGCAGGTTCACTGTCATGATACAAGTTAGGCGAGAGTATCCCGAGTTTATCAATGTCCATAATTATAGTTATTCGTGCTTTTGAATAATTATAATTCGTCATCGAAGTTTAATAATTTTGTATTTGTATTTTCGCATAATCTAGCATTTTTACGAAAAGTTTTTCAAATTACGGATTCATGTTCAGGAAAGTAAATTCTAGAAGAATTATCTGATGGATATTGCAGATTAAAATTCGTGTTGAACATTGTTACTTTCTGTAGATATATCGTATCTTATTCTTAAACGAAAGATAGCATTATGCCAGGCTTACGTATTAATTAGGATATAATTCAGCTTCAACAACAGCTATCAAAGAAAATCGTATAACAGGTTTATGTGTTACACAAGAGAAATCGAATGCATCCTGGGTTTCTCTTTTTTAGTATCAATAAAATTTGTTTGATGAAATATAAATAATTTATAATATAATTATATAATTTTCTTATAGCGATATGTAAGCGTTAAATATGACTCGTAGAAATATAAAATGCAGTAATTATTAGAGAAATTGAAATTTTGTACCTGAGGTACTATCATCATGGCCAAAGTTGTCCCTGCCATAGAGAAGCCAACAGCTTGTCCCCTTTTCTTGTCAAAAAATGTGTTTAATGCCACGAAAGACGATGCGATTGCTAGTCCAGTTCCTAAGCCTATCATAAATATATGAAAGTAGATTAAATAAATGATTTAATGTTTAATAACGAAAGAGTATAACACGATACACTTATTCATTATTTGCTATGATTAAAAGTATCTATAGCAATGATAAGTATATCAAAATATTAGATTGATGCATATAAAATGTCCTTTACCCAGAATTTGAATTTGACTTCAAAAGATCAATTCTTCCTATTTTTCATTCTGTTATTAATTGAGCTCAATTAGGTTACAGATGTCATTTGGTAGCATAATTGAGCCATTCACTGCACAAATTGATTAACTCTGTAAAACAAAAAGTGTAGAAATGCAATGAAATAATGTATATTGTTTTCTAAAATTCCCTTTATAATTTAAATCGAAATAAATATCGTAGAATGCATAAATACAAATGTAACTTTCATCTAAAGGTATATAAAATTTATAAGAAAAAATAGCCAAAAGGTAATCGTTAGTAATCTTGCCATTTTTATTTTACTGGAAGAGTTAATCGATTTGGCAAGTGAAAAGAGTAATAAATTTAAATTTTACTAAATTTTACTTAAATTCTGATAAGACGGCACTAAAAAATTCACCGTTATCATTTGTGACTTGCTAGTGCATTTGAGTTGCATTATTGCAACTATTTACTTTAGAGTACGGAGTTAATCAAAGTGACCTCTGAAATAAATTATTTATTATTCAGTGAATAAGCGAATCAGCGAATGACAAATGGAAAATTGTAGCAAATGGAAAGAAAAATAGTGTGAGAAATAATGAAAATAAGTTATCTGATCGTTATTTGTCATAATTTTCATTTATAATGGAGAACGAATCACAGGTGGCAATCAGAAATCTCTAGAATAATTGCTTGATAAAATTGTAAAATTTTTATCAAATTTGCTTCTTCATCCAAGAAAGATAATGATGTGTGAAAAGCATTTGAGGTACTTGTATATTACCATTTTCTACATAGCAGAGATATGTTATGAATAAATTGATGAATTGTGTGTGAAATTAATAATCATAATTAATAATCACGTGATTGAACAAATGGAAACAAATCAATCTTTTCTCATGACAATAATAATCTCGTGAGTCAAAAATGATTATATAAATACTCGAAGAAGGTAAATATGACAAATTTTGCTAGATTTTCTGTATTTCTTTACCATAAAATTACTCATTTTTATTTCTGCACATACTTCGAGGATTGTTTTATAACTAAATTATTTTGGAAGAGAAAAATTATGAAGGAAATATTTAATAAATTTTTTAGTTACAGGAATTATAATGTTTATATACCGAATAATAATAATAATAAATATATAACAATATTGAATTATACAATAATTAGTTCTCAGAATCACATTGCAATCATATTGATCAAATCATTTTAAGGAAACTACGTGAGATCAAAAGCTTTTTGATTTATGAAACGATAATCTTATATTCTTCATTCTAAGAGGAATGATAATAGAGGAATGATAAATTAGTATGAGAAAATGAATGTACCGAAATATAGAAGTTATTTAATACAAACGTGAGATTAGCCTGCAAAAATATCTTCAAAAGCTTTATCTTGAATTCATACCTGCTAAAATACTGTAAGTGCAAATAATATGAAACATGCTATTGGCCCTCGACGTCAGTATCAGTCCACAACAGCTTAAAAGAGATCCAAAGAAAGCCACTTGTCGATATGAATAGCTCTTCAGTAACGGTCCCACTAAAAGGCCTAAATTACAATGAAATGACAGAAAATTATAATTCGCCACATTTACATAAATGTACAACATATTATAGTTTACATATGTCCAAATATTTTTCAAATTTGTGATAAACTAAATCATAATATAATTTACAATTCATCGTTGACCATGATATAATTAATATCTAATTAAGTATTAGAAATTACTATACCGATTATTATTCAAATAATGCAAAGGTCAATATTATATATTATAAAAGATGAAATTTATAATAATTAATAAAATATAAAATTAATTTACTTATAAATTTATTTTAATTTTCAAGTGTACGAGGTATTATATCATTATTTAATACCTGAGAAATTGACGATGGCATCAAGAATGCTCATTATCAATGACGCTCCTGTGGAGTCTATCTCAAGCTCCAGAAAGGGATCGTGAAAGAGGAGGCCAAACGAGGGATCCAAAGATCTTAAAGAAAGCTAAAATTATATATATTTTTTATGTCATATTAGCTTCTGATTTTGTTCTTTTTGTTTTCTTATTCCTAGTTTAATTTATATCTTAATTTTTAGTGGTAGACATATTCTATAGAACTTCTATTGCTTCTATTAACTGTACTATAATAAATTATATTATAATTAATATCATTTTGTGAAAATAGAAAAATAAATAATCGAAGAAATTTTCCGAAATAATTTTTCCCTTCGTCGTATTTTATAATTCTGTACAAATATTGGAATTTCTGTTAATTTATTAATTCGACAGCAATTTATACAACTATTAATAATTATAAAATTAAAAAAGTGATTTGTTTTATCTCTATCACGCTATTGAAACAGGTGTCTTCATAATATGAAGATGATTATGTAATTAACTTTTTCACTTTTGTCTTTGAAGTTAAGACAACGTATAATACGTTTTTCCTAAACAAAATATAGCAATTATGCCAATAATATTTTACATATACATACAATATATAAAAGTTTCAATTTTGTATTAAATGTTAAAATAAATTGAATAAATATCAATGGTCGTATCAAGAAATAATAATGCTTTATGTAATATTGCCTATATAATATATAATTGCTAAATATTTTGTATATTCAATTTTAATATACACAACTGACTAACAGTACATACTTTTGAAGCAAATTTCTAATCAAACAAAATTTCAACATTTCTTTGAAATCATCAACAATGCTTAACTGATCTGTCACACTACAAAAGGAATCGAATAAAATGGAAACAAATGCAAAACGTAGTGAAATGGTTCGAAAGAATAAATAATCAAAGTAGGCATACCGATTTCATATCAGCGATCGATGAAAGATAACGAAAACTCGATAACAGATATCAAGATTTAGAAAAGCTCAATACATACAGGTTGAATAAGCAAAGTATGAAATTCACCTGAGAATACTTAGATATATAATAGCACATGGTTGATTCGAATGATACAGTGCTCTCGTAAATTATTTCATTAAAAGGCAGCTATAGCTAAAAAGAAAAACATTTCATTATTAATTAAATGATGAATTTTAAATTATTCCATTAATTACATTTCACTATTAATTTACTAGTACCAAATTTGATTCAATGACAAGTCAACAATGGAAAAATCCATTCTAAATCATACGATATTGATCAACTTCCGCCTTATTTTGTTGCAATTACGGTAAACGAAGTAGATATTAGAGGTATTTTATACAAAATAATTTTTTTAACATTATACATGCCGTGACTAATCAAATAACTAGTAAAATGAACAGTCGTGATCGATGAAACAGGTTATAAAAGAATTATAATAAATTAATCATAAGAATTATAATAAAATTATAATAAAAGGGTGGAAGGAAAACCAACTTAGAAAATGAAAAATAAAAGAAAAAATTGAAATAAAAAAAGAGATAAATATTAGAAAGTTGTAAACTGTAGTTGAACGTTGGAAATTGTATTTATATTATGAAAAAAGTCGCGAAGTCAAATGACATATGTGAGAATATTAGGTACAAAAACTTCAATAAAAAGTTGATAAACAATCATTTGACAAACGCAGACAACATTGAATACAGAATTTTTAATAAAAAGTTTAAAAACGATCGTTAGGGTTATGACATGTTTATGGTTAATTATACGGAAATGCATATGAAAGTATAAAATGAATTAAATTTGCTTAGAAAAGCGTGACTCTGTTCACTTATTCACTGAAACTCTGGTAAAGGAACGAAAAGACGGAAGTTCAATCATACATATATTAAATCAATACCAATCTAAAAAAAAAAGTAATTGAACATAAAACAAAGAACATATATATCGAGCTTAGGAATTCTCACAAATATTAATAAATATGTCAAATTATTATTTCAAAAGGTGAAACACTTGTATATACTATACAGAATTTAGAAACTTAGAAGTTTGCACATGGGAAGAATATAGGTCTGGTTAAACATATTAGCAGTCATTTTCAACCTATGAGATACCTTAAATTCATAGAGGACCACACAATAAAAATGAATGAAATATATAATATATATATTATATACA